CTTTAGAATAACTTTATTTTAATATATTATTGTAAAAATTAAAAAAAAATTTATATTTGGTTTGATTTAATTTGATTTGATTTGATTTGATTGATTTGATTTGATTTGATAAATATTTGATTCAATTTGATTTGATTTGATTAAATTCAAATTGATTCAAATTGATTCGATTAAATATTTGAGTTCAATTCGATTCAATTCAATTCATTTGAAAAAATCAAATCAAATTCAAATTGCTTAAATATTTGATTTGATTTAATTTTGAGAAACCTTAGTGATTATAGTAAAAAATTTATTAAAATATACAAAAAAACATTCATTAAGTTAGAATTTTTTATTATTAAATAAATTAGTTAGAGACAAATTTTTTCATATATTTATAAACTAAGTATACTAATTGAAATCAGCTAAAAATCAAATAAACGATTGATAGATGATTGATAACTGATTTATGGCTAATTTTAATTGACATAATAAAAGTCAATCAGAAATATCAATTAACTATCAATCGCTATTAATAATCCATCTAAAATCTGGCTAAAATAATTTAAATTTGATTATTAATCATTCATCAATCATTTGTCTGATTTTTATTTTGTAAATTATATTTATTTTATTTTACAATTTTAAAAATAATATTTTTTTTATTAATTTTATTTATTATATTTAAAATGCAACAAAAGTAAATATAAAATACCAAAATATTCCAATTTAAAAATACTAAAAAAATATGCAAATTATTAAAAAAACAATAAAAAGAAAAAAGAAAAAAGAAAAAAAGAAATAAAGAAATTGCCGTTATAATCAATAAATAGTCATTACTATCATTATTATTTAATCACCTTTTAATTAAAACTTAAAACTAGCAAATAAGTAAAAAGAAAAGGTAAATTATTTTACCTGCTTACCTAATTATTAAAAAAAATAAAAAAACAAAAATGCAAAAAAAAAAAACAAAATGTAAAAAAAGTAAAATAAAAAAAAAAACTAGCTTTCTGAAGTATGAAAAAAAGAAAAATAAAAAAAAGAAGCAATTACTATTATAATTGATAAATAATTATCATAATAGTCATTATTATTCAATTACTCTTTGATTTAAAATCAAAAACTAGCAAATAAGTAAAAAGAAAGATAAATTGTTCCACTTGTCCTTTCAATTATTAAAAAAAAAAAATAAAAAAAAAAGCAAATAGAAAATATTTAAAAATGTTTTATCTGCCTTTTTAATTTAAAAAAATAATAAAAAAATAAGCAAAAAAAAAAAGCAAAATTATTAAAAAAAAATAATAAATCATTATCATTATCATTGTATTTATTATCTTTTTAGAGAATTTATTTAATTTTATCACTAATAAGATAATTATTAAATATACTTGTATGCTAATAAATACACTTGTAATAAATCTTTTTATTTAATAAAATTCTAAATTACTTACACTTTGCCTTTTAATATATTTAATTGATAAACCTTTAGAAGCTCTTCATAAATCTCATATTATAAGCCTTAAAGCTAAATTTTTTGTTAATCTTGTGTTAATACTAATTTTCAGTTATTAGTATCATAAGATAATAAATAATATTACTTTTTTACAATATATATCATTTCAAATGTTAAAGATATTATTTTTAAAAAAATAATAATTTTTTTTTTTTAAATATACTACCTTCTTAACATTAGAGATATATTATTGTTTAAAAAATAATAATATTATTTTTTTTAAACAGTAAACTGCTACTTTAAACATTGGAGATAAATTATTGTTTAAAATACAATACATTTATTTATATATTTAAATATTATTTTTTATAAAAAAATCAAATTTAAAGTTGAAAATTATGTATATATTTAATATTTTAATTATTAAAATTGAAATTTTATTTAAAATAATAGATTTTTAATAAATTTTATAATGTATTTTAACTAAAAATTAAAAAAAATTGTAAGTTTTTATGTAGAATTTTGCATAATAATTAATTGAAAATCATCATAAATTTGAATAAAAATTATTATTATTTAAGGGATATCAAAATTTGAGGTATTTAAACCACTGATTGGTAAGTTAATTAATATAAAAGATAATGTTCTAAAACCTTAATATTTTATGTTAATTTAATATATTATTTATATCAAATATATATCAAAAATCTTAATACAGTCAAACCTTGATATAGCGAACCCTTGATATAGCGAATTTTTAAATCAAATATATTAAAATTACCTTTACTATAGTGAACTAGCCAATTAAATTCTTTAAAAAATTTGTTATAAGCTTATAACGAAGTTGATATCCAGATCTTAGAATTTGTTATATCAAGAGTTTACTGTAATCAGTAATTCAAAATAGCTCATAAATTTTTATTTAATTTAAATCATTAGATATAAAATAAATTAATTTTTATTATTTAAAAACTTTAAAAAAATCTGTAATTAAAATTATTTATATTTTATTATTACACTTCCCTCTAATAAATATCTGATCACCTGTGATTATTTAAATCATAAAATTTTAATACATCAATTTTAATATTTATTTACTTAAAATTTATTTATAAAGTATATATAAAATTTATGTATGTAACTCATTAAATCTCAAACTTTTTATTGGAATTATTAATATTTAGTTGGATAGCCTTTACTATTTATTATTACTTGAACCCTTTTTGGCATAATTTTTACTAAATTTATTAGAATTTCAGATTCAATTTTATTTAATTCCTTCTCTAAAATTATTATTAATTCACTAATATTTTTTGGATGAGATATATTCATATAGTTGTTGATTTTCAGACATCTAAAAAAATTTTTTTTTTATATTTTTCAAGTAATTGCAAATGAAGGTTTCATAGGAAAAAAAAATTTAACTTATTTGGCATAATCTTAATTTTAAAAGTTTAAGATCTGCAATGATCGACAGGGTGGTTGAATATTTATTAGAGAAAAGTGTACATTAATATCTTAATATTTAGTGATTCAAATCATCTAAATTTTTATATGTTATTCCTTCAATGGTTTTTCTTTCAAATTTAAAAGGAATTTTACTTACACTTTAAAGTTAATTTTAAATATATTAAAAATTAGTTATTAAATCAATAATATTTTTATAATAAAATTTATAATATTTTTTAAGTAAAATCAAAAAAAAAATTATATTAATTAGTAACTTTTTGCATTAATTTAAGATCAAATTTTTTAATAAAAGTATTTTCTTTATAAAAGCTAAAATTTAAAATTTTTTATTTATTTTTATATTATTAAAAAAACTTTACAAAATATATAAATTATATTTAAAACATTTATTTATATATTTAAATATTATTTATTTATAAATTTAAAGTTAAAATTTTTGTATATATTTAATATTTTAAATTATTAAAAATGAAATTTTATTTAAAAATAATAGATTTATAATAATAAATTTTATAATGTATTTTAACTAAAAAATGGAATAACCATTACCATTTAAGGGATAGCTTGAGATTATTTCTATTATATATTAAATTTTGGTATAATTTTAATCGGTGAATATAATGTCAAAAATGGAGTTCGGAAACTTTTGGGTACCCTCTGTATATTGATAAATTATATTATATAAATCACTAGTAAATATTACCGAATATTTAACGATAACAATAATATGAAACTCCAATATTTTTAAAGAACTTATCTTAAGGATGATTATTTGAAGACAAATTAATGTTGTAATGCTTAATTAAATCTTAATGTTTAAACAATAGTTAAATACGTACTCTATTTTTTACATCCGAAAGTTTTTGGTGAGATATTTATTTTTAAATCGAGATTCCTAAGGAAATATTTATTTAGCCTATATTTATATTGTTAACCTCGTCTAAGAATTCGCTGTTGCTATTGCAATAAGTAAATCGAATTATTACTAAAACTTAAACTTTCCGACAAATATCTTTGAATATTCATTTGACATACCAATGCCAGAATACGACTTTTCTGTTCAGGAGGAAGCATTTCAACTTGTTGGGGTGTAAGATTAAGAAGTTGAAGAATAATCGTCTAAAGAAATGATAATACAGGTAAAATCCATTCAGTGCACTTAAAAAAGTGGAAAGATAATGATTAAACTCTTACGGCGTTTTGTTCTTGAATTTGCAAGTCGCCTACAATTTTTTTTAAAAAAAAATGAGTTCGTTGATCTGTATACAGTATATCGAGAGAAATATAAAAAAACTTACTCATAAAGATGCTATTAAGATTCGTTCCGGTTTGTAAGGCTTGTACTACTCCTGAATTTTGCATTTGAGATCCGTAATTGAACATTGCAGACTGAATTCCTTGCATAGTTGATATATGAGGGATAAGAGATTGTTGTACGGATTGCTGGATATTTTGAGAAATCATTGATGGTATTGTGAACGGAATTTGCTGATATTGCTGTGGAGGTTGCTGTTGAACATTTTGTTGTTCGCGTTCTTTCAGTTGTTGCAACTGCAAATGTTGTGGATATTGGTGTTGCAGCAAAGGTTTCTGTTGTTGTTGGGGTTCTTGATATGGTTGCCGCATTTGTATCTGATCCAATTGGGATGGTTGAAAGGTCAAATCTGTCATCACCGATGTAGGAAATGTTGTAGGACAAGTTCGCACAGGTTGTTTTTGTTCAGATATTATTAACTATTAAAAGAGATCAAATAAATAGGTTTATAACATAAAATGTATATATTCATTATGAAAGAAATACGATTTTGTTTTTTAACCTTTAAAATATCTCCATCGACAAGATCAAGTTCAAACAGAATTTTAAATAAATCATATGCCAACAGGGGATTTTGTAGTAATAATTCTTTAACCCGATCTTCATTAGTAGATTGAGAGTACAGCTAAAGAGATCAAAAAATCAAGGTACTAAGAGTGATATATACGTATATATATATATATAATATTATATATTATACAATTTTCATCTTATTTGACGGTATTTTACCTGTAAAGTTAATAAGACATCAAGAAGTTGTACTTCATTCATTCCGGATGAGGATTCCGGTTTATCAGATAATAATCTTTGTTGTTGTTGAGAAAGTTGTTGAGCAGACGTTTTAAAAGAAGGATCTAATCTGTAAACTTCATTAGTTGTTGAAGGAGGTTTATTATCGGCGTATCCAACCATTAATCTTTGATCTTCCATTTCTACGTTATTTAAATTTCTTATAGCACTTGCGGCAGTAGCAGGATCTTTTTTTATAATTCAACAAAATAAATGTAATTTACCGAGACCGACCGATGTTATTTTAAATGAATTACCGATTGCAAGTTTAAATAAATTACCGTGATATTCGCAATAACAATATCCTGTAGATTGTTTATTTTCTTTTTCAAACGCTAGGCTTTATTTTTTTTTAAGCCGAAAAAATCGAGGTCAAAAAATCGAGGAAAAAAAATTCTATCAAAAAAACATGACAATTTTTTTTTGGTCTTATTATTTGTCACAAACCGAAAAGAGACTATAGGTCCAACTTGTTGAAAAATTTCTCTCAACTTAATTTCTTTTGTACCAAAAGGTATATTTTCAACTAAAACAATGTAATTTTCGATAAAAATAAAAAACATTTAATCATCTTAATCGACATGTACAGTAAGTACTCACGCATATCATATATATTGACCTTACCAAGAATTATATTACAACTATTTAATCCGCTCATGATTTATATATAAAAAAAAGTTTAAATCGATTAATTAATTGATTAAAATGGTTGGAATAAGTCGGATTCAAAAAAAACCGAATTAATCAATCCACCCGTAAATTATCTTAAATTTACTTGTTATTTATACAAAACCGATTTTCGAAAATGTGCAGAATTACGATTTAAAGACAATTTTTTACATGAACGTTTTGTTTATAAAAAAAAATCATCATCAGTTAATTTCCATTAATGGAAACATCGCTTCTTTCCTCATCCCCTCCCGATTCTAATAAATCGTTACCCCCTTCTCTTACGACAACATCATCTTTCTCATCATCATAAGGAGAATTTAGGGAATTTAATGAAACGGTCATAATAAATGGAATTTTTTTCCTTTTCGGTTGCGTACGTTTACGTTTTAATACATTCGGATGAGGTTCAATAAAATTGATGGAAGAGTTAATTAAATTTTGTATTATCGTTGTCTTTCTTGATATTGGCACTGGTGGTGGAATATTTGATTCGGAAATCGAAACGTTTTCAGGATTTGTCGGTTGTGAAGACATTTTACGTAGATTCGTTTAAAAAAAAAAAACTTTATATTTAATCCACAAAGAAAAAAAGAAAAGAAAATAAACCAATCTTTTTTTTTAATTATAACTAGGGAACGGGAGACCGTTGCTAAGTCTGGAGCTTTGTGTAATGAAAGTAACCAATCACGTATCGACTCAACTTTCCCAACATATAGTCTTACGCTTCGCTTATTTTAAAATGATGAAATCTTACATCTTTATTTAAATTCCAAAGACAAATTCAACAATGAACTAGTTTAATTACAGAAAATGTTTTCTAAAAGAATGATTTTCACATTCAAACATTTGATTTTAGAAAACAAAATCATGTGAAAAAAGGAGTTGTCTCACATTATTTCTGTAATGATAAAACCATTCATTTATTTAAGTTAACAAAATAAATAAAAATGTTCATTAACCCTCCCTATCATTGATTAAAATTTTATGTACACTACATTAAATCGTATTTATAATCATATAATTCACTTTGTCATCTTTTAATTTCTAAGACATCTTGTCCCAAAATTGAGGATATGTAATATAGTTATGTATTAATGATAAAGGATGAGATATTCGAAATGATTAAGTAATAACAATGTTGGTGGAAATTGTTTCATTAAAAAAGTGATATATTTAATAAATATAATAACCCCATATCATTCGTTCACTCTCCGACTAATTTGAATTCAATGCCATCAATCTTTAATTTATCAATGCTTCTCGACTTCTTCATTAATCCCCTTCGGGTTTCCTTATTAACACCCGTTGTATTGACAGATGCTGAATCCGACCCAACTTCATTATTATTTTCCACTGCATTAAATCTTTTGGTTATCCTTCTAATTGTGCTACGCTTTAGTCGAATTTTAAACGCTGCTCCTAATAATAAGTCGGGTGTTAACAAATCATGTGGTATATGTAACAAGAATCCGAGAATTTCTGAATTCGTTGGACAGGTTTTAAGTAAACGCTCCCTTGTACAGTCCATAATAGCCAACCCAATCCTGAAAAAAAGTTTCACTCCTAAAAAAAGGAATAATGATGAATAACGAGAATGAAATTTGGCAAAGTTTTAATTTTAATACAAAATCGTTCCTACCTTCAAAATAAAATATATCCCAAACGCGTAAAACCGAAGCCCACGGTAAAGCCATAGTGAAAATTGTCATAAACCACTGAGTTATGTACATAAGTGGAAGAATATCATTCTCCGCCTAAATTATTTATAATGTATCAAAAATCGATAAATTTAATAAATTATATTTTTTGATAAAATCACTTGTTTAAAGAGAGAAAAAAAAAACCTTTTAAATTGGTCTATAATTACCAAATGCTGTGCCAACTTTGAATCGTGATCAGCTAATAGTTGCTCAAAAACCATTGAATCAATTCGAACCTGAGATAAAGTTGGTGTGAAGTATCCAATCATATATTCTTCAATAGTCGCAACGAGTAACCAAAAGGTATCTTCAGCCGGCATTTGCATCAACATCATACCAACCAAACGTCCCATTCCCTGACAATATCCTACCTCTGGGTTGTAATGAGCATAAGCTTTCAAAATATTGTGAAGGTCATCTTGTCTATGTAAATAAATTTGTGAATAAAAAGTTTCTATCTCTACTTCCCTTTTCTCTTACTTACCCAAATCCAGCTTCTTCCCGGAATTGAATATGATCTGGATAACAACGATGAATATCTCTTTCAATAACATCGTAGATGGGTAGCTTTGGTCGATTTCGTAATTCCTGTCAGGCGGTACCGTAAATTAAAAAGCTTCATTTTTTTTAAAAAAAAACACGCATCAGAAATACTTACGTCAAAAACACCAGGTTTCCTGTACTTGTTTGCACCGGCCATAAATTGCCATGCTTTGCCACGAACTGATTCGGGAATTCCAGAACGTACCAATTTCTTGATCTGTAAAGCAATTTTTTTTTAATTTAAAAAAAAATAAATACAATTCGATCATAGATTTAAATTAATTTTGTACTTTTCTAGAGTCTTGGACCATAGTAGAATCCATACTTCCGAAAAGATCGATCCATTTCACTTCACGTTCACGATACAACCGAATTGTACGCGTACTCTTCTCTTCTGTACCAGGTGCCTGAATACTAATAATAAAGAAATTATTCAAAACATTTTTCCCAACTACTAAAAATTAGAATATGACCTTCGTTCCGATACATACATTCTTTGAATTCTATCAACTCCTGGAGGAATATCCTCTTCGGTGACATCACGAACAAAACCGTATTCATCAATGGTCAGGTTTTCATTCTTCTCCTTTTTAGCGGATTTATTAGATTGTGTCTCTCCAGATTCGGATTCGTTCTTTTCTTCAACCTTATCGTCTTCAGAACTAATCTCTTCACTCTCATTTGTACTCAATTGTTCAGAGGGGGTATCAGATATGGAGTCTGAAGCATTCTCAACCTTTAAAGCAGGAACTTCCGTAGTTTTTGACGGATTATTTGATGATGATGATTTCGTTGAATTATTACTAGAAGACGCGTATGCAATTAAGCTTTCCTCTTGATCATCATCGCTATCATCGATATCACTATCTTCAAGAGTAATCTTTGGGGTGATTATAACAGGCGTTGGGGCTGGTGTGTTTGCGGAAGTCACCCGACCTTCAGAACTTCCAAATTGATGATTGTTATTATTATTGATCATGTTTCTAGGAATAAAACGTGGTGAAGGCAAAGGAGTAGTGGATGTAGAATATCGACCGTCCAACAAAATCTGTTCCTCTTGAATCACTTTTATTTGTGTCAACTTTGGTGAGGGTAAAGGTGTGGTTGAAGGCGAATCATGACCGATCGTAGTTGCGATGGAAAATTTTCTTTGTGGAATTGGAGAAGGTGAATTTCGTCCAAAAGGCGAACGAGGAGGTGAAGAGATAGAATCTGATGTAATACTTCCATTAACCATAGAAGCTCCATTTGATATGTTAAATATTGGATTACGTGATTTATATTGAATAGATTTAGGTGAAGTTGGTGAATTCAATGGAGAACCAAATACTTGAGAACGTCCTTTATTATAAATGGATACTGGTGATGATGCTAGTGAAGAACTTTGTGATGAAATATCAGAGTTTGAGATGCTTCCTGAACGATAATGATCGTCTCGTGACTTTGATGTGACGATCCGATGAGGAACTGGATCAATCGACATTCCCAGAATATGTTGTTGCCCTATTGTAACACTTTGCATATTATTTTGGCTTTTACCTGGAATTATCGTTGTAAAATTTTGAGGTTTTCTTGTGTCATTATTACTTGAATCACTGTGATTAGATTGATTTTGACCGTTGATTAGAGACTGTCGGGATTTTGAAACTAAAATATGCGATTGTGATGATGATGGTGATGTTGATGGTGATGTTGATGAAGATGATGATGTAAATGTAGATGTAGATATAGATGTAGATGTAGATGTAGATTTTATGGATTGTTCTTGATTTATAGATATTATTGGGACAGAATTATTTCGACGTGGCATGATGGGTTCTGGATTGTTCGATAAATATGGCATCGTACTTTGTTTATGAGGTGATAATGGTATTGAATGTTCAGACGATATTGATGATTTTCGTGGTGATGGAATAACTCTTGGAACATTACTTTGATTAAGCGAAAGCGATGAATTGTTATTATAATTAATTTCGCTGGTAGCTGGTATAATTTTAATTATAGGTGATGAAGGTGTTGAATTATTTCCTATACCTAAAAAAAAATATTTTTTTTTATTGTTAAAAAGAAATTGTAAGTTAAATAAAACTTGTAAAGATGAATTAAAATGAGTTAATCGTATATATAACCCTTTAAATCTAATTTGAGCAGTTCAAATATTATGAACTACTTTTGAAATTACACACGTTTAGCATACCTGATAATCCTAAAATTGACTCATTTGAAGATTGAGTTGACCTTGTGGTATCTGAAGGATAAAGAAAACTTGCCTGATGGGAGGAACTTTGATCAAAACTATATATCGATGAAATTTTGCTTGAAGGTCTTTCCAATCTTAATGACCTTGGAATTTTTAAAGGTTCATTAAAATCGACAGCTTTACCATTAAATATCCCTATAACGTCTTTACAATAACCCTATTTAAACGAAAGCAACGTTATAATAATAATTTATTTTTAAAAATGAAATATTTGGATAATTAAATTATCTAGATCTTACAAGATATAAATCATCTTTGATACGTTTCAGGACGGTTATAACTTCTCCTATGAAGACCAAAATAATTCAGATTTTTTTTTTTCAAGTTTTAGTCAAAACGAATCCAAATTATAATCAAATGTTACCTGCATAAAACATCAAATCATCTTCAGAATGTGCAATTATGTCCTGATTGGCTACGCATGTTCCAATACCACCTATAATGATTAAAATCAAAATAATGTTTATGATCGAATTTACGATATTTTTTTTCAACATTCTTTGCATTATAAAATCTCCAAAAAAAAAGAAGAAACTACCTTTTTTAGCGAATTTAAGTAATTTTTCCAATTTGGCTGGATCTTGTGTTATCATGTTTCAACGGTGTTTTATTATTATTTTTTTTTTTCAATTAATTTTATGTACAGATTCTTGAAAATGAATAGGTTATCATCAATTATCTCACAGAATATTTGACAAAAAAACCCAAACCCGGCGGAGAGACGATATCTCAAAAACTTAGACTAATTAGACTTAAGTTTCCTTTCTTTAAAGACTTTCTTTTTTCTCGTTCATGTAAATTTTAGTGAAAAAGTTTACAAACGGGCAGACAGAAAAAAAAGGTTGAAAACGATTTAAGTTTGGTTTAGATCTAGTTTTTTTATTTATTTTTAAAAAGGTTTTATTTGGACACTTTATTGACCACAAAACAAGAAGTTTTTTTTTTTTTTTTTAGGAAAAAAAATATTTGTACGGGAATGGGAGGTTTTATTTTAAAAGGGGAAGGAAAAAAAAAGGTTTCTTGTTATCTGTCAACCCTATAATAGAAAGTGCCTCTTTAAATTCGTAAAGGAGAGAATTTGTTGAAACATGAAACCAGCCTTTTACTTAAAAAATTTCTAAATTTACAAATAAAGTTGAATCAATGGAGTCCTTGCTTATATGTATTGTCAATGTGGTGTCACGAACCACAATCTAGCAAATTAAATATACAGGAACATCACAAACAAGATACGAATTACTTACCTAACTCGGCCTAGGTATTACTTTTTTAGTAATCGCCCAACTTTAACGGTCAAAGAAAACTTGTTCAACAAAATAATAATTAAATGAAATCAAGAATGATGTTATCATCCGCCTTTTCGTTAGATTTGCATCTTTCAAAAAGATGAAATAAAAAATAAAAGGGCAACAATCAACATTGTCAACAGCTTTCGTAAGAAAAGAAATTAATCCCATCATTTGAAAAAGTTCAAAAAAAGACATTCATTATTTTTGACAACCAAAAAAACAAATGATTTTCCTTTAATTGTAGCAGATCCTCAATTTTAAAAAAATAATTTTCATTCAAGTTAAATCATTTTAGTTTAGTCTGGTTGAGTAGGATTCGCTGCGCCACCACATTTCTTTCGATTCCACGTGCATGTAACATTTCAAAAAAAAAGATTCGATGGGTAAAATATGCACCAAAGATCAAAATATAGAAACAATGCATATGCAAAGCAATTGTGAAGAAGAGAATGGGTCATAGCATAAAGATACACTATTCTCACAGGAACATTCTCTTTTCTATATATAGTCTTCAATACCTTAGACTTACTGCGGCATATCTTAGAAATCCCAATCAAAGAACAAAAATAGTAATCCTTTGCTATACACATGACTGAGCCTGTCATGTGATGACGAATATTTGGACGGTTAGTGACTATATCTGTCGGGCAGTGACTTTATCGGCCACCCTTACAATATATTTCAAAATTCAGTAAGGTATCAATATGATACTTGATCAACATAAAGAAAATTTGTCAAAATGTATTAAGTCGCTTAAAATGTCTTATATCCTAATATTCTGTACGATAAATCCAAAGTTGGATACTGATAAGATATTTTCAACTTTTTAAACGTTTAAAAAGTGACATTTGAATCCAGCCTTAACAAGGAATTCGTAAAGTTGATAAAATATTCGTAACGCTAATTAAACATCTGAAGCATTTTTAACTCGGTCAAAGGAGCTTATTTATAATTGGATGAAAACAAAATTTTCGCTTTGATATGCGGTAATTCCATGGAAAGAATCGGCTTGCTCGTAAAATGGACGAATTATATTATGGCAAGCTAACACTTGCTGGAAACACTTACCAAAATAGGTTAACTTTTCATTAAAATGCTATGCGTGTGGTTATTAGTTTGGTTATTAGTTGACCACTTGACGGGTGTTATGCATTTCTTTGGTCAGCTGCGTTAATATACTGTAACTTCTTCCGTATCAGTGAGTATGATCCTCCCCCCCATGAACGGTTTTATTTCCTATCTTATCTCCCATTAAGGATTTACATGGATCAAATGATTGGATGAATCATAAATGCGTTTCATGAGGAACTGTTTTTTTGTTAAACTTTTCTGAATTGATAAAAGATAGAATTTAAATATGGGAATTCCGGAAAATTTATATGAAAAGGATTCCCTTCCCGATAATAACAGGTCGAAATGAATGACTGAAACGCAACGTCTCCATCATAATAAAATATGTGACATTGAAAGAAGCAAAGATTAAAACTTGGAACCGTTTTTTTTTTGAATTAATAATAATTAAAAAAGGAATTTTTATCATTTTTTTAAAGAAAATCATTTCGAAAATTAATTAAGTTAATTGGAACTTGGCACAATATCACATTCACGTGATTTTAAATCGTTGATTCGTGATATTGAAATTACTTTAATTAAATGTTTCGTTTAACTTCATTAATCGTCACCATCGATTCCTAGTTTTGATTGATATTTTTTAATTTCTTTATTCTGTAAACAATAAATAATAAATAAAATTTATTTAATGTAACGAAAATTATATTTTTTTAAAAAATTATTTATTATTAATTACCAATGCATTTAAAACGAGCAATTTGAAATAAAATGTTTCGCAGTAGAACTAACGTTAAACGAAGGCCTTTCCTCATTATTTTTATTTTTATTTTTTTTAATAGCGATGGGAATCTTTTTTCGGATAAAATGAACTTAAAAAGAGGAGAAAGAAAGACAATCAAATTTTAATTATTTAGATTTACGAGATTTACCAAAATAAAATGTTCCTTTTCCTTTATTTTTCTTTAAGTTTCGGATTTTATGGATAAAATTTTTTCAGAAAAAAAAAAAAAAAATTAATAATTTACAAGACGTTGGTTAGATCGAATCAAATAAACATGTAATAAAACAATTTTTTGAAAAAGATTTATCATGTGCCTATAACAAAAGTATATTTTTAAGTTAATTAATCAAGGGGTCTAGGAGTTTTACATTTAATTAAAAATACGATTGTGCATTTTTGTTTATATTGCGATGTGACACAAATTTATTCACTCAATGGTTGGGATCTGATTTTTGATTTGTGGTTTGAAGTCATCGTGTTTTCATTATCCTATTTTGGTAAGCATCAAATTTATCACTGTTCAATCAAAGTTGGACTCTAGCAAATACTTTATAATTTAACTTGCACTATATTTGTTATACAATATCACTTTATTGTAATAATAATGCTCATCTATATATTTAAATGTTGCTTCAAGCCTATATAAACTCTTCAAATTTCTCCAAGTGGCCAATTCCTCATTAGATATTTTTTATCATTGATAAAACTGGCCCATTAAATTCTCATTCCTCTTTCATAATATCGCCTTCCTTTCGTTCTTTCTCTCTCTTTTACTTTGAGGAAAAAAAATAGAATAGAATCCTCATTTCTTCTCTCTCTCTCTTTTTTTTATAACACTTACCTTTGTACTTAATCAAAAATGAAATTCAATTTACTCTTTGCTACCGCATGCGTTGCTCTCTTCTCTAATGGTGTGATTGCTCAAACCACTAATACCCCACCTGGTGATGCCATTAAAAGTCCAGGACCTGCTCAAATCTGCGCACAAAATAGAGCTTTCGCTCCATCTGATGGTACCCAGAATAAAAATGACAATGCAAAAGTTTGTGTTAGCACCGTTATCGGACAACTTCCTGCCGTCAATAAGATGGTTTCATCTATAATCATTAAACCAAAGAATGGTGCAGTGATTAAGAGAAATACACCATTCGAATTTGCTGTTAAATCGATTAACCTTGATACCGGTTTCTTCTCTGATCCAAACTTTGATTATTACGATGCTCCTCAACAACTTAACGCCCAAGGAGTCATTCAAGGACATAATCACGTTACCATTCAAAAACTTAAAGGAAATCAAGTTCCTGATGCTAGAATCTTCGCTTTCTTCAAAGGTTTAAATGACGAGGATAATAATGGTGTTTTGACTCAACAAGTTGAAAATGGTCTTCCCCAAGTCGGTACTTACCGTATCTGCACAATGTCTTCTTCATTCACTCATCAAGCAGTTATTATGCGTAAGTATTTACTTCTTTTTAGTTAAGATACAATGTGCTTTATTGATTTTTTATTATTTACTAATAACACTTGATTACCTATCTCTTTAATCATGCAGCTGTCGCTCAAAGAGGTGCGCAAGACGACTGCATAAGAATATCTATAGTGTAAATTTAGATAGATTTCTTTGTAAAGTTTCACATTAATGATAATTTTTTTTTCTTCTGCGCTTTGTAAGCTTGCAAGAAAGATCAAAAAAATATATAAATAAATATGATGGGAAATTTGCATAGATTTTAATAAATATAGTTAATAAAGTTAATAAAATAAATCGATTAAGTGTATCAAACTAATTAGAGAGAAATGATTAATAATATAATATGAGCAAATTGATGGATTTTATTTTTTATTTAATTTTTTTTTTTTTACAATATTTCTTCGGTATTATTTGGCTTCTTTACTTGTATAATATGTTTAAAAAAAAAAAGCGAAGGGGAGTGTGAAACCCGTTTTTTCTTTTATTTTTTTTTTATTTCGTTCCTTCATTGTTGTCTACAAGAAATAAAATAACCACAGGTGGTTTTGGATTCCTTCCTTTTTCAAATTTTAATTGATTTGTCGAGATCTTTAAAAAACAAATTGTTTTTGACCATGAATTAGAAAAAAATGACTATTTCATCTGTTATATCCTTTTTTCGGCCCTTTTGAAAATCCGAAATTTGAATTCCGGGTATAAAATTATTAATCTTAAAAAAAAGGTTTCTGGAAAATTAATTGCATGATAATCAAATCATTTAATTTTTTGGTTGCACATATTAAAATACTTTGAGTTTGTTGTATTCCTAATTATATAATGAATGTATGACAGAATTAATGATGTCAATCCAAAAAGAAACTAAATAATACATTTGACTACCCACAATGAAACTATATGTAACACTACATAGTTGATCTCAAATTGATGGGTAAATCAAAAACGTGGATTGGTAGATATTCGGAATAAGGGAATTGATAATTAAACGCTATAATAAATAAAGCTTTTAATTTTAATATTGATAAATAATAAATAATACTGTAAAAACAACCTTAAACCGTTAATGGTAATTAATTGAAACAAATCCTTTTACAAGAATTTTCTGTAAGTCTGTGAGATTCGAATAAAAAAGTGGATTGAAATTTCGAAACGGAAGGTTTAAAATTAGTTTAGTCAACAAATTATGAAACCAATTGGTTCATGAGAAATTTCCTTAAAAAGTCATTTACAGATAAATGTGAAGAGTTTGTTTATCCGATTCATTGTCTAATCACTTTCGATCATGTGAATGATGTTGTGGTCTAAAAATAGTTATTAGATAGAATTTTCTTTTTAAAACTTTTTTTTTCATTCATTTATAAATTTAAAGAACTAGTTCCTGGAAATAAATAAAATAAAAATGCACAAATTTGACATGCTTATTTGTACCGCTTAAATTAATTAGACAAATCAAACTTTAGCCATGAAAAAAAAAAATACACATGTTTTGAGACCACATTCTTTGATTAAATGAAATTGAATTATCAACGCTTATCACACTTTTTATTGATAAACTCTCATAATTTTAACTCAATTGAAAACCTCATTTTTTACTTTCAAATGATATCAAAATCATATGATTTGGATAAGTAGATAATTATTAATTAAATAATCTATTTTGGTAATTCGGTAAATTCAAAAAAAAAAAATTTATCGTAAGAATTTTATTTTTATATTATATACTCTTGTTAAATTAAAAATATGCAAGATGGTACTTACACCATATAATATGCAACAATAAACAATCTACTTTAAATACACTCCATAATAGTACACCTTTATTTCAACAGTCTTTAACATCGCCACAAAAAAAATAATATTACTATAACTCATAACTACCCTAATAAAAAGATACATGTTCTTCATACACTGAGTAACCGAACTACTACATATATATAAAATATATTATTTCTTGGATTTTATCAAAAACTACTACGCGAACCGTTAAAAATGGACCTGTCTATATTATACCTGATAGTTATATGGTTCAATTATTATACTGTGTATACGGTACAGAAGTTATCTGTTCAACCCAATATCAATTTAATGGTAATGTAAAATTTATTGTAACATGGGATAATCTAATGGTCAAAAAGTATCAGTATATAGCTTAAAATCATCAAGTGATGTAGGACATCTTTTTTTAAAGGTAAATATTATATATATTTTTATAAAGACATTAAAAAATTTATTAATCAAAATTTTAATTATTATTTATTTAATATATTAGAAATTAATAGGCAAAATAAGCACATGATTATTAGGATTAATTTTATTTGGATTTGATCTTGAATGTTTACATGTAATCAGAAATGCTGAAAATAAATTTGATAAAGTAATTATACTAGCAAACTGAAACACACATATGATGAACTTCATTTAAAATCACAAAAAAATAAAAGACTAATTATTGTAGCAAAAGATATTAATTCTCAAATTTCAAATATAAATAATACAATCCTTAAAAATGTAATTTTTAATATTATAGGTGAATTAGTAAAACTTAATTTTTGCTCAATTCAAAAATGAAAATAGAAATCAGATTATTGATTTTATTGTTCATGCTTATGATGAAAATCTGATATCTTGAGATAGATATAGAAACTAGCTGCTATAAATCCTGATTTGAAAAAAAATTTGTAATTAAAAATTGATGAGTATTTATTAAAAAAAAAATTTCTATTTGTACTTTTGATATTAAAACAACATTTTTAGATAGTATAACTATAATATTCAAAATGATATTGAAAATATTGAATTTAATGATAATAAAATTAGAAGTTAGAATGTCTATTAGGATTCCGCAATTTGATTTGATTTGATCAAATTCAAATCAAAGAATCATTTATTTGATCAAATCCAAATTAATCTTTGATTCGATTCGATCAAATT